TTTTTTTTCATCTATTTCTCGTGGACTATTAGTTTAGGTTTCTTTCTTCCAGTAAATAAAAAACACATGCATTGACGATTTTTCGTTTTTTTTTTTTTTTTTTATTGTCATATTTCCTTTTTTTTGTTTTTTTCTGCTTTTTTTTTTTTTCTTTTTTTGCGGTAGATAGGGGCTTAAAGGAGAAAGGAGATGATAAGTAGAGGAAGAAGAAAAAAGAAAGGGTTATGATGAAAGGAAGAAAGAGTGGAAGAAATGGAAGAGCGAAAGAGGGGGAAAGTGAAAAAGAGAACAGAGATGAAAAGAAAATGCAAGGGAAAGGAGAGAAGAATAGCCAGAAAAGGCGAAGAAACGTAGAGAGAAACCAGGGAGGAGAAGAGAGGTTGAGAATGGGAGAGAGGAGAAGAAAGTGAGAGGGAAGCCCAGGGAAGAGAAAGAGAGGGGGAATGGATAAGAAAGGAGAAGAGAGAAAAATAAGGAATAGAGGCGGCTTTACCCTCACCCTCGACAGTATCTCCCCCTGCCCTCTCCTCCTACAAACTCTCCTCTCTCTTTTTCTTCCTCTCTCTCTCTCTCTCTCTCTCTCTCTCTCTCTCTCTCTCTCTCTCTCTCTCTCTCTCTCTCACTTCAACTCACTCACTCCTCACTCACTCACTCACTCACTCTCCTCTCGTCTCTCTCTCCTCTCTCTCTCTCTCTTCTCTCTCTCTCTCTCTCTCTCTCTCTCTCTCTCACTCACTCACTCACTTCACTGCTCACTCACTCACTCTCTCTCTCTTTCTTTTTCTCTTTCTCTCTCGCCGGGACACCACCTCCCCTGCGAGCTGCCTGGGGACACATCCGGAATTAAATTGTTGCTCTTGACTCATCCTTGAGTCATGACTCCTCCTCTTTTGTCCCTGCGCCCCCTTCCTCGCCTCTATGTCACCCCCTGCCTTCCTTCCTCTCCTCTCTCTCCTCCTCCCCTGCCCTCTCCCTCTCTCTTCCTCCCCTCGCCTCTCCCCTCTCTCCTCCTCTTCTTCCTCTCCCCTCTCTCCTCCTCCCCTCCTCCCCTCTCTCTCCTCCTCCCCTCCTCTCCCCTTCGTCCTCTCCCTTTCATTCTCCCCTTCTCTCCCTCTTTTTCCCCTCCTTCGCCTATTCTGTCACTCCCTGCCTTCCCTCCCTCTTCCTCTCCTTCCTCTTCCCCTCTTCCCCCCTTCCCCTCCCCTGTAGTCACCCCCTGACCTCTCTTCCTCTCCCCCCTTTCCCCCCTCTGTACTCCCCCCCCCTCCTCCTGTACTCCCTCATCGCCCTTCGAAATCCGTCTTTAATTCCTCCCCCCCCCCATCCCCCGTTTATCCTACTGCCCCCCACCCCTTCCCTTTCGTTCGAGTTATATCTCTCTCCTCTCGTTCCTCTCTCTGTCTCTCTCTCTCTCTCTCTCTCTCTCTCTCTCTCTCTCTCTCTCTCCTCTCTCTCTCTCTCTCTCTCTCTCTCTCTCTCTCTCTCTCTCTCTCTCTCTTCTCTCTCTCTCTCTCTCTCTCTCTCTCTCTCTCTCTCCTCTCTCTCTTTCTCTCTCTCTCTCTCTCTCTCTCTCTCTTCCACGTAAACATTGTTACGCTTTTTTCTATATTCTATACAAATATATAGCTGTGCTTATGAAATTGTCTTGAAATTACACGTTTAATCCATATTGTTCCGTAATGTAAACATATCTCTTTACAAGTTATTTTAGAATGTTTTCTTACTTAATTAAGGCGTTGTCAGTGTCTTAATGTAATCTTTCCTTTGATTTAAGTATGTTCGGAGACATGGCGATTTCTTTTTTTATTGTATATGGTTTGAAAATTTGTTTGTGTGTGTGGGGTTTCGTTTTTAATGGCGATTGGCACATGGTCCTCTCACAAATCCTGTTTGGGCAGAATGGCGCCGTAGACTGTATGCCGGTAGTCCATTCCCCTCTCCCTTCTCTTCTCCCCTCAGCCACCTCTCTCCCTTTTCTATTTCTCCCTCAGGCCACTCTCTCCCTCTGCTTCCCCTCTAATCCACTCCTCCATCTCTCTCTCATCCATCTCTCACCCCCTCCCTCCATCATCCACCCCTCCCCGCCATTCTTCCCCCTGTCCATCTCTTTCCCCCTTTTATTTTCCCCTTCATCTCCCTCTCTCTCTCTAAATTCCCCCCCCCCCTCCTCCCTCCTCCCCCCTCCTCCCTCCTCCTCCCTCTCCTTCCCTCCTCCACCTCCCACTCTCTCTCCTCCTCCTTTCCCTCTCCACGTCTCCTTTGAAAAAATTAAAACATTGGTGTTTTTTTGTTTTTCGTGTTGCTGTGAAGTGTGTTGTTAAGGATGTGATTGAGCGGAAAAATCGTAGGATGTTTATGATAGCTAAGGATGTCTGTCTTTTGTTCTAAGGTGTATCCTTTCATGACAGTTTTGTTAAACTTTTAAGTATCTCTGACACATACCCAGTGGAAGATAAGACAGACACAGACAACAAACACAGAACAACAAACACAGAACACAAACACGACACAAACACAGACACACACACACACACACACACAACACACACACACACAACACACACACACCACACACACGACACACACACACACACACACACACACACACACACATTCACGGATACAGACACCGAGGGGGGGGAGGGGGGCATCCAACCTGCACACGTTGAATAGTTCCTTGAAACTTCCATGGTGCACACCCACAACACCTGAATTCGCCTCAATGCCATAACTCCAGAAAGGTTATATTTGTTTCAACGCTTATTCGCTTATAACATCCGTATAAATCCTCCCTTTTCTAGTTCGCTCTGTTTTGCCCCGAAACCCAGATGCTGAAGTAATAATACTACACATATTATTTACGTTCTATTTATGAACATAATGACCAGGAGAGCGAAGATGAGTTTTGCGAGGTTACAAGACTTAATAGGAAAGTTGTATTTGCATAATTTATGCATAACTCTGACCTGGTTGTGTTCACACAGATACGCAGAGCGAGAGAGAGGAGGAGAGAGAGAGAGAGAGAGAGAAAGATTGAGAGAGAGAGAGAGAGAGAGAGAGAGAGAAGAGAGAGAGAAGAGAGAGAAGAGAGAGAGAAATAATAGAGAGAAACTGAGGAGAAAGTAGCAGACTCAGAAAAAAATGAAAGTGCACAAAGAATTTAAAAAACGGATAGCTAAAGGAGACCTCACGCAATCCATCATTGAATATTATCCTTCCTGCCCTCATTCTCCCATTCCTCCCTCTTCCCCCAATTCCCCCATCCTTCCCTCTTCCCCATTCCCCCATTCTTCCCTCCGACTCTTACCCCCCGCAACCTTGAACCTCTCCCCCACCCCAATGCCCCCTCTATCCCTATTCATATATCCATCTATCGGTCTGTCCCATCCGACTATCCACTCCCTTGTATATCCAATTGTGGTTGAGCGAGTCTTGTCTCTTCCTTGATTATTGGCCTCATCGGATATTGTGAAGTTATTGGGACAGCGAGGACAAGTTAAGGCAGCGTAGCCTGTACAATCTAAAAGTTTAGTGAAGACGTTAAGGTTCTGAGAAAGGGGGCGGGGCGTCTTGGCTTCATCCTTGACTGCTGAGGTCACGGGAGGATGTTTTCGTTAGCGTCCCTGTTCATTCTTCTTTTTTTTGTCTTTGTTCTTCTTTTTTGTTATTTGTTCGTGTTTATTCCGCCATTACCTGTCACTGCTTTTCCGTCCTTCCTTCCCTCTGTCCCTCCCGCCCGGCTTTGTCCTTGTCCACCCGTTTATGTTTTGTTCCCGCCTCTCCCCCTCTCCCTTGTCTCTATCCACTGTTCCATATCTTGTCCCTATCCACTCTTCCATCTTATTCCTATCCACCTTTCTGTCCCTTCTCCCCGTCCATCCTCCCCGCCCTTTTCCCTGTCTATTCATCTATCCCTTGTCCCTGTCTATCCACCTATCCCTTGTCCCTATCTATCCATCTATCCCTTGTCCCTATACACCTTTTCCACCGTTCTCCCTGTCCACCCATCCATCCATCCCTTCTCCCCGTCCCTCTTCGTCAGCATCCCGACTCCGACAGCTGAAACAACGACACAAATGGCGTCCTGTCATAAACGTCAGCCGGCCCAGATTTAACACGTCCGCCGCGTCACCTGTGCTTGTCAGAGGTTCAGGCGCCGCTGTTTATTACCTGAGAGAACCCCGCTCGCTAAAGGCACTTGATAAGCCGGGTTCACGTTCCCCCCAGGCGTGAGTTAGGCTCACAAGGTTCAGACAGCGATACGGACACGCCTGAAGGAAGACTCGCGGGTCGAACCTCGAGATAGCGCCCCCCACTGTAGGATTTAAAGTAGAAACATTTTGGACAAGGCAGACACCTAGATTCCAGGATCCCCAGATTCAGAAGGCATATTCAGGACTCCATTTTCAGATTCGCGACGCCAGATTTAGATCAGCGGAACTAGGACTCCAAATTTAGGACTCCAGATTTAGGACTCGCAAGTAGGGCTCGTCCACCCCGGGGCCGGCCATCATGTCTTTCTAGGGCGAGCTCATGGTCCCTTCCACGTAATGACGGGAGGCCATCACCGGGCGGGCGAGCTGGCGGGGGGGTAATATCTCCTCTTTACTCTTTATGTATGTCCCTGGGGTCGCTGATGATTGCATGTGTCGGATGGGGAGGAAGAGGCTATGCTTTTTGCGAGGTTAATCCGGTCAGAATATTGACTAAAATGTTGGAACAGAGCCAGTGTAATTGGAGAACGGTCGGTACTTGGCCGAGCAGTCCAATAGTAGCCGAGCTGAAATGGATACTTCATTTATTAGGTATTCGTGTATACGTGATTGTGTCTGTATGGTGGATTTGTATATAGCGCACACGCCCCTGTGTACATATTTACATGAATATGTGCATGCGCTACTTATGTCTTTTACCTTAACCATCTGCATTACTCCTTTAATCTGAGGGACGCGAAGGAAGTCTCCTAAGAACAGATGTGTGACAGATGTTCCGTCTCTTTCCAGTGCACCTGCTGGCCCGCACCATCCAGGGCACCGCCACCTCGGAGAACGGGAGCTTCGACTACGACCAGTCTTGGATATGCGCGCT